GGGGGGGGGGACTCTTGGGGACAAGCAGGAAGCAGAGGGGACACGCACTTTCTGAAGGGGGGGGGAGAATCTGCAGAAAGTTCCGCACCCAGGTGAGGCCCCTTTCAGAGGTGACTCAGCCGCACTTCCCCCTTCCCTGGGCCGCGGTCTGTCACGCCACCCCGACACCCCGACACCCCGCCACCCCCCAGAGAAGTGAGGTGTTTCCTGCAGCCCGTGTTTGTTGATGGACTCGGTTCCTCCCTCGGCCGCTTCAAAGGGGGAGCCTCCCTGCGCACGCGGTTGGCTTTGTTCCAATGCATGAAGGGTCCCCCTGCTTGGGCGCCGCGATGTCACCACGGGGATTTTCCCGTGGGTCCCGCAGAGGACGAGAAGGGGATTTTGTTCTCCCTTCCGGAGACCCAAAGCCAAGACTCCAACCAACCAACCACCGTGGATTCAGGCTTCTGAAACAGCGAGCCCAGGTCAATCTTCCCTTCTTGAAGTTGACCTCCCTCGGGCATTTTGTCACGGTGACGGTCACTCCTGTCCCCTTCCCTTTTCCGGGTCCCGAGGGTGCCGATGGCCTTCTCTACCCAACTCCCGATCCCCAGGGTTGGGGGGAAACCTGGCAGAGAGCAGGATGGGCGTCCTGGCCCAGCAGCGTGGCATGGAAGTACATATCTCTACGTGGGCTCTGCAGCCGAGGAGAGCAACGGCCATGGGAGATGGACGATGGACCGTCCCTTCATCTATCCACTCGCCCACCCACCCATTCGTCCATCAGTCTGCCCCGCCCGTCTGTTCACCTTTCCCCCATGCACGCATTTATCAAACCAGCGAGCAGCGAACAGCCGGGCAGTCATCCGTCCATCCAGCATTCACCTACCGTTTGCCCATCCATTCACCCAACCACCATCTGTCCACCCATCCATGTACTCATTTCTCCATCCATCAGTGTATCCATCCTCCCATCCATCTGTCCATCCATCCATACATCCACCCATCCAGCCATCCATCCATCCATCCACCATCCACCATCCATCTGTCCATCTGTCCATCCATCCACCCATCCACCCACC